GTTGAAACAAACCTTGAACTCTACTGGAAGTACAAGGCTGGACCCTTGAACTGTACTGGATGCTTTTATTTTGTAGATTTTCAAGAATCTCTTACTTTAAATTAAAATAATTTTAAAGTATTTTAAACAGCTCGATGTAGTGGGTAACCATTATTACCATCCCCTAATAGAGAGGTCCCATTTACTAGGGTACTCTATGATTTGGGTAAGGTTTGTCCCCCAAATGTTTGTGTGATAGAAATTTAGTCCCTAGTGTTTTAGAGTTGAGGTCTGTTTAACATCTGGAGCCTAGAGGAAGGAGGTAATGCCAAGGGGTCTCTACCCTCATGAATGGATTACTGCTGTCTCACAGGAATGGGTTAGACCTTGTGGGATGGATTAGTTCCCACAAGTACATGTAATTATGAGGCAAGTTTGGCTATCAGCTAACCCTCTTGCACACATCCCCATTATGCACACAGCCATTGCCCTTGGGGACACTCACCAAACATTAGGGCCACACTCTTGGGACCTCCCAGCTAAATCAACTTTTCACTGTAAAATACCTAGTCTTAGGTTTTGTGTTAGAGCCATACAGCGCAAACTGAGACAGGTACTTTCTATATACTCCCAACTGCTCAGCACTCATAGCCTGCTATACATTTAAATCAACAGCTAAGACCATCAGAGAATAATCAGTGGTAATGTCTGAAAATTTGTCAAAATGGGGAGATGGGTACTACTAGAATTTAGTGAGTCAAGGACATAGATACTGCCAAACACCCCGCAATGCACAAGACAGAAAGGATTATCCATCTCCTCAAAATGTCAAAAGGACAGAGGTTGAGAGACGTTACCTTACTGTAGGGTTCTTGAAAATACACTCCCCAGGTGCTACATCAGCCCGTATTTGACAGAAGATGAAATAGAGGGATAGATATTCAAGGTGACCTGCCCCAGGTCACTTGCTAATAATAGAAGAGCAAGATTCAAATCACTACTGACTCAAAGAATCCCCAAGGCCTGGGTCATTTCAGAAAGGCTTATTTTTGACGTGCTCATGCAAGCACAGCATACAGCTGTCTACAAATGTTTACTCAGTGATTTCCTATGAGGAAAACAGGTCATAAAAAGGCTCTTAGACTTCCCAAGCAGAAAGATTTTCCAACTGTCCTTTGTACAACCAAAGAATTGCATCTCAATTTTTCTGATCCTTGGTTAAATATTTATCCAACTGCCTTGCTCAGACTGAGGTTACAGAGCTCTACCATTTGTGTAGGAGGGGTAGTAAATGTGTTACTACAGTAAGCAAATCTCCCAAGGTGGATGTGGTCAAATTTGGAAGAGGAGACCTGTTGGGTTATCTGCCTCTGCTCATGAGGAACCATGCTTAGATCTTTATGTAGATTATTTCATTTAAACCTCATAACACCTCTATGTAGTCAGTGTTCTTATTTCCTCCATGGTATGGGGAGAAAATTGGAGCTTAAGAGGCCACATGGCTTTGGAGATTTCAGGAAATTCACTCTACTAGGAAGTGGAGCAGAGCGCCCTGCCCTCCTGACCCTCAGATCCTGTCAGAAAGGAAGGGATCCAGGGCTTGATAAGGAGTCATTCATGATCCAGGGCTTTGGAGTAGAAGACGAAACTGAAAGAGAGGGAAGGAGCTGGCTGGTGGGAGGAGAAAAAAAGGATGGATGAGAGTGAAGCAAGGAGAGGGATGGGAACTGCTTCAGTTTGCTCATGAAAGCCCCAGACAAGTGAACACAACAGGCCAACAAACACTCTGACCAGCAAACACAATGTATGATAACAATGTGTTTCTGGCTCTGGGCAGAATAATTCATACATTTGGGGGACGACACGCAGGGGAAAAAATCAAGAAGGTTCAAAGCTCGGAAACATGAAAGACCAGAAAGATGGGCAGAAAGAAGTCAGGAGAGCAAGTTTTGGAGGCCAGTAGCAATGTTGACTTGGTGTTGATTCAAGAAAAAAGAAAAGCAAGGCTGGGTGCAAAGAATTTGTACAACCAGGGGTTGAAAATAGGAGAGAGATGTATGAGTTAACACTCAGAGTTTTAATTCAGTGGAACTATATGACAAAAGAGTAAGAATCTGTGGCTTGGGAAAAACATGAAGGCCAAGTTGAAAATATACAAAAAGGCATCCTTGTATTGTAGGTTCCTCATTCATCCATCCACTCATTTATTTTTCACTTTTGACTCATTCACATGTTTTCATGTCTTCATTTATTAATTCAGTTGCCACTACAAGCCAAACTCTAGGACTACTACAGCATACATGCTACATGTTAGACAACTAAAATAAAATCTTAGGAACAAATGAGCTGCTCAAGGGCAAAGAGAGAACAAAGATAGAAAAGAGAAAAACATCCTTGTCAACATGTTGAGAAGACAGTGATCAGCCATTTCGATAAATATTTGTTGAATAAATGAGGCAAGGAGTGTGTGAAACTTTGCCAGAAGAAGCAGAGAGCACCATGCATTGGAGAGAAGTGAAGCCTCCACCAAGGTCAGAAACATAAAGGCCAAATGCAGAACAAAGACAAAGGTTAGATACTACAAGTGTATGGGTTCCTGATATCTACTTGCTTCATTTCCAAGAAATTGGAAATGCTTTAGAGTTCTCATACAAATTAAAATGGTTGCCCCTGGTCGTCGGACATAAATCTTTCTCCCTCCCTTCCTCATCCTATATAAATCTCTCTCTTTCTCCCTCCTTGCTTCCGTCCTTCCTTCCTTTCATTTCTCTCCCTCTCCCTTGCTTATGTCTCAAGCCAACCAATGGCTCTGAACAAAAACACACAGCAGTCAACAGCAACTATTGTGTGGGAAATACAAAGAACTTCCCAATAAGAAATTCTTCTAAAACCATTGTTCACATTGTAACACACACACACACACACACACACACACACACACACACCCCAATAAAATAAACAAAACAACTAGTTGGGTCTTTATTTGTAAAAATATCACTTGAAGTCAACTAACCCAACAGTGAGGGGTGGTACTTGTCTGCTTGAAGTTACTGAAGACTAGAGGCCACTCCATCACTTTCCCCCTCATTGATGTGGAGACCCAAAAGACAATCCTATGGATGTTCCCCAGAGCTGAGGAAGGCCCTGAGAAACCCCAGTTTGACAATGTCTGTCCCAGAAAGAAAGGAGTGACATCCCTCACATGGCCATTGTTTATGGAAAGGAAGATCACTAAGACTTTGACTCAAGTTGTTGACTGCTTGTTCTACGAAATGGAGAAAGACAATTCATCAAATGTCACTTTCTGTAACACTAAACTTGCTGGAAGATAAGTTAGGTGGAACTCTTGATGACATTGGCATAGGAAAAGACTTTATGAACAAATCTTCAGTAGCACAGGAGCTAGCACAAAGAATCAACAACTGGGATCTCATCATATTAAAAAGCTTCTGCACTGCAAGAGAAACCACCAACAGAGCTAAGAGACAACCTACAATGTGGGAAGAAATATTTAGCACCTGTAGCTCAGACAAAGATCTACTATCAAGAATATATAAAGAACTGAAAACAATCAGACCCCCCAAATTCAAAGACCCAATTCAAAAATGGGCATCCAAAATGAACAGACATTTCTGAGACAAAGTAAAAACAGCAAATAAATATATGAAAAAATGTTCAACATCACTGTTCATTCGAGAGATACAGATGAAAACAAGACTGAGATTCCACCTCACCCCACAAAGAATGGCTGCTATCAAGAAATCAACCAATAACAAATGCTGGCAGGGATGTGAAGAGAAAGGAACCCTTCTCCATTGTTGGTGGGAGTGCAGACTGGTGCAACCACTGTGGAAATCAGTATGGAGATACCTCAAAGAACTAGGTCTAGAGGTCCCATTTGACCCAGCTAGTCCCCTACTGGGAATCTTCCCCAAAGAAGTAAAAGAATCATACCACAGTGACATATGTGCACTCATGTTTATAGCAGCACAGTTCGTAATAGCTAAAGCTTGGAAACAGCCCAAGTGCCCATCAACTGGAAACTGGATAAAGAAGATATGGGGTTTTTTATAAAATGGAGTACTACTCAGCCATAAAGAATGAGAAACTAGAGACATTTATAGCTAAATGGATGCATTTTGAGGCCATAGTCTTAAGTGAAATAAATAAGACAAACATGTAAATACCGAATAGTTTCTCTAGTGTGAGAAATTGAAAGTGTAAATAAGGATGAAAATGATTAAAATGAATAATTGATAATTTGAAATAAGAAAAGGTCCAAGGGTTTGGGGATGGTGGAAGGGGAAGGGGAAGGGGAAAGGGAAGAAGGGAAAGGAAAAATTATGAGAAAAAAATGGAATCAAATTCTGTGTAAATAGGAAAGGGTGGAGGGGGTGAAGGGTGCACAGGTAATGGGAGAAAAAATAAAAACTAAGATACATCATGTTCTGGTACAAACACCCAATGATAAATGTAAATGTATTTTATACCTAAAATGTACCAATAAATATATATATAATGTCACTTTCTCTCCTGAACTGTGCCGAGGCTGAACAATACTGAGAATGATCTCCTGGTCAGTGCTAGTGGGCAGACATGGGACTCCAATAGTGTAGACAGAGGGAAGGTGTCTGCCTTCTCAGCCACAGGGAGCAGCACAGTGCTGGATTCAGAAAGGGTTGAAACCAGGTTTCGTGAAATGTTGGTGTTACCTGTAATGTGAGTTTTCCTGTCCAAATCTAGGAAGCTTATGTTTTGGCAGCTGCAGAATGAAGATACTTAAAAATCCTATAATCCCCAGTAATTAATAGATGTTAGAAAGTAGATAAGAGTTGGAGCATGAAAGAATTTGAAAGAAGAGAACAGGTTCATTGTAGTAAGTTCAACAGTAGATATACAACCTAATCCTGATTCAGCCCTGCTTTTGCGTGCCTTCCTTTCTTTTTCCAGCCCACAAAGAATGCAGTGCACCACATCTTTTGACGGGCATCCTGTGACCACATGTGACAAGGCTGACTCACCTCCCATGCTGCTGACATTCACCAGCCTCCCCTTAGATTTCCTAAGAAGAGGTAAAAATGCCTTCGTGACTTCTACGGGTCCAAAGAAGTTCACCTCCATGCATTTTTTGTACTCAATCATGGGAATAAGTTCCCCATCTGTCGGGAAGCCAAGGATCCCAGCATTGTTGACCAGAGCCCACAGTCCTGGGGACAGAAAAGAATAACTTTGAAGATGAGCAACCCTGAAAAGTGTGGGGATTTGTAACACTTCAATCTCTGCAAGTTCACATACATACCTTTGAGATATAGAATCCAGGCACATTACAAACTCTTGGACCTCAGTCTCCATGAATACCTAAAACTACCTATCATGGGGTGTTGTGTAAAGAATACATTTGAGAGATATTGAGTAATGGGGTTTTTTTGAGGTTCACTTTTTTGCCTCAAAGCCCTTTCCTACATGCAGGATTCTAGGTATCTGATAAATACAGCAAAGAGAGGGTAATAATAGTATTCACCTGACTTTGCAGTTGCAAACACCTTCCTCCTATCCCCCCTCAAAGGAGAGTGTAAAGACTGTAATTCCTTTATAACAATTCAGAATGATATAAAAGTCTGTTTTATCCCCTGAACTAGAATAGATTCCCTAGGCCAGGGGAATGGGAAAAGTAGGAGGGAAGTACTAAGCTCTGGGATAGTTGTGTGATAGTCTTTGAACCCTTCTCACTGCCCCAGCCAGTTTGAACTTGGTAACCTGCTTGGGAGGTTCACCAGGAAGGCTTGTTCAGACTCATCTCCAGAGGTCCTCTGCTGAGGTGTCAGGTAGGGCCTAAGAATCTGCATTCCTAACAGGGCCCCATGTGACACTGATGTGGCAGATCTGGACTTCTACCCTCTTGGAGAACTGCTGACCACAAGCAGTGGTATTCAACCCTCACACACTGCACATTAGGAACACTGTGGAGCTTTAAAGGTCCCCAGAACCACCCCATATCCCAGAATAATAGGTCAGAATCTCTGGGAAGGGAAAGAGAGGGGATGCAGGAATGAGAAATTTTTTTAATTCCCTAGGTACTTCCAAGGTACTACCACTCCCTAAATGATACAAAAGAGGAAATACAGTAACTTAAGGTGGGATTTTTCTGAAGGGGGGAGGCAGATGTGACCTTGGAGAAGCAGAGGGGATAGGACCAGAGTGTGTGTAGCTGGACAGAACTGAACTGACCCTGAGTTCCTGGAGCCCTGACATGGTGTGGGACAGTGGTTCTCAAGCTGTGGCCCAAACAGCAGCAGCATCAACTGAGCACTTATTAGAAATGCAAACTTTTGAACTTATACCAGACCTGCTGGGTCAGTAACTGCGAATCAGAAGGTGTGGTTGAGTTCCACACCTGTGATAGGTCATGCCTCCATGATGCCAAGGCAAGCCCAAGGGCAAGAGCCTGTGGTACAGGAGCCAATAGGGACCCAGGCTGGGAAGGAGGCCCCGCCCCAACTGTGCCTGTCTGATGACAACAAGGTGGTGATGGCAGCCAACTTCCATGATGACTACACATAGCACTGGACATCTCTGCAGGGATCAGCAGGAACACTGACCCTCAAAGACCAAATATCCCACCCCCAGGAATGTAAATGCTACCCCAAGGAAATGAGATAAGATTCAAAATGCTTGAAATTGGTTTTGCCATGTGGTAGAAAGAAGGCTCCAAACATCTTGAGTTACAGAAGAGAAAAATACATTTCTTGCATATCTGATTTTGTGGTCTGACATTAGCACACATTGGAGATTGTAGATATTGAGTGAGATGATGCCCAACATATAGTAAAAGCTCAACAGTTCTAGAGATGGGGTGCATGGAGAGATCTCTTTCTAGGCAATGGTTTCAGTTACTCAGCCCATGCACACTTTGACCAGTGTGCACTGTGCAGCTTGAGATTGTCCTATCAAAGAAATCAGCAAGCTTTCTCCCTAAAAGGCCAGGAAATCTATATTTCAGCTTTGTAGGACACACTGCCTCAGCTCTGCTATCACAGGAGGAGCCAGTACAGCTGCAGACCACATGTAAATGAGCAGAAGGGCTGTGCACCAGTGGAATTTTACTTATGGTCATTGATATTTAACTGCCATATACTTTTCATATGTCAAAAATATTCCTCTATTTTCTCTTGACATTAAAAATGTTAAAACCATTCTTAGTTCACAGGCACTACAAAACCAGGCAACAAGCATAGATAACATCCTTTAACCAAATTAAAGAGATAGAGAACAGATTTGCCATCACCAGTCATGAGGGGTGGGAACATGACTATGGAAAGCAGCATGACAGAGATCCTGGTGATAATGGAATGGTTCTGTGTCTTGATTGTGGAGATTATTAACAAAGGTAGGCATGTTCTAGAATTGCACAGCTATGCACACAGACACATAAACATGCAGGTGAGTGGATGTGAAACCTAAGTCATCTCTGTGAAGCCAAAGTCAGTTTCTTGGTTTTTATATGGGATGCAAGATGTCAACACTGAGGAAGGCTGGGTGAAGTTCCTTTGCAACTTCCTTTGCAACTTCCTGCGAATATACAATTTTTTCAAAATAAAATATTTTTTTTAAAAATCCAGGAAGGACCATAGTTTGCCAACTTTTGCCATAGAACTCTAATGGGGTTACAGTGTGATATTTCGCTCATGCACATAGTGTGCACTGATCAAATTATGTAATTGGCATTCCCCTCCCTTTGTCATTTCCTTATGTTTGGAGCTCCTGTCTTATAGATCTTTATAAAAACAAAACAAAGCCAGCACTTTTATCTCCTTTTGCTGGGAATATCATTTGTATAAAGAGGGTGGAATCTGGAAGTGCCCCAGGCCTCCATGGAAAGTTCCCAAATGAACACAGGAGAAAGTAGAATCAAGAAATAGAGGCTGATCCTAAGGACCTTGCTTAAGTGACTGGATCCAGCCATGCCAGAAGCCAACAAGTCTCTTCAAGCACATAAAAAATGCATTTTTTTTTTTTGCTTTAGTGATTTTGAATTAGGTTGTGTCATTTGCATCTAAAAGAATCCTGATAGATGCAGAGCACTTGTTGTCAAGGAACCTAGTGGTAAGGAGTGGGGAGATGGGCAGATATTAACAGCTGGGCAAAACAGGTACAAACAAGATACATAAGTGAGCACCTAGAAGAGGAAGTGAATAAAACAACCTATATAAGTAGAAGGCCATTCAAGCGACAGGAAGTGTGAACCAATTCTCCTGTGGGAGCAGAGTTTGACACAAAGACTCTGTTGGACAAAACCAGTAGTCGTAAGAAAGGCAGTAGATGCCAGGCAGAAGTTCAAGAAAAAGGAAACTGGATGTGCAGAGGTGGAAAAATCACCTTGTGTTCTGCAACCTCACCAGAATTTCCCAAGTGGACCAGCAGGTACTGCAAATTAAGGGCTTGGCATGTCCTGCAGTCCTTGTGGAGGCCTTTGGATGGTGTCTGGTGGCAGAGAGGGAGCCACAGCGCCAGAGCAAGTCACTGTGCACACGTCTGGCACTCGGGAGGACCTCAGCACATGGAAGGACTGTATGCCCAGGGGCCTTTAGGAGATGGATGGCATTGTAAGATATATACCCTGGGGAAGTTACTGTCCACTTAGAAAGTACTAGGGAAGGAAGGACAGGTTTCACAGAGGTCACTGGAGCACCCACATAGGAGATGATGAAACCTGGAATAAGCCACCACCTCTAGCAGTTGGTGGGAAGGGCTGTATGCTCAATATCTAGGAGGAACACTTGACAGAGCTCAGAGCCAAAAGGATATGGGTATCAAGGGCAGGCTGGGGGTCTCAAACACACCCTGGTGGTTGGCTGGAATGATTGGTTAGGTGCCAGTTCCAGCACCTGTGATCTGTAGGACACAGGAGAGCAAACTGCCTTGCAGTCTGTCTGGTACCAGGGGGAAAGATAAGGAGATCAACTTTTGACAAGTTGATTTTGAACCTCTGGGATATAAGTGGAAATGTCTGGTGGGCTATTTCATATGATGGGTAGTGCTGATTTAATATAATTATAAAGTTGATCTAGGTGGAACAAAGGGGGTTGGATAGGTCTGGATGTTGAGAAGAAAGGCTGGTTGGCAATACAGCTTTGAAAGTCATTGGTATAAGCTAGTGTTTCTCAACCTTGGTAAAACATTGGCATCTCTCCTGAGGCCTGAGACTCTCTTCTAAGGATGCTCCTTTAACTGGTCTTTGGCATGGGGCCACCCAGGTAGGGTAGCCCCCAGGAGTGTGGGATCTAGACAGCCACACAGGGCCAGGAGTCAAGGAACTCACACTTGGTTAACTCTTTCTGCTACTCATCACTTTCCATTCTTAACTATTTCCTGGGCTGGGGATTTAGCTCAGTGGTTCTGCCACCTGCCTTGCAAGCACAAGGACCCGAGTTTGATCCCCGGTACCAAAAAAAAAAAGGTCAATTCGTAACTATTTCTTGAGCAAGTTCATTTTGCACTAGGTCCCACAAGTTAGGCATCCCATGCTGGGCCCATGCATCAATGTTCAAAAAGCCTTGCTGGGTGATTCCAACACACAGCTGGATGGAGAACCCCCATATAGGGAGAGCACAGTCTGGCCCAGAGAATGGGGACTGGGAAACTCGGGGACAGAACCTCAGAAGCCTTCACATTCGGTGGGATATGGAGGAAGGGACTTATCCAGGATAAGCCGAAAGAATGATCAGAGAGCTGGGAGGGGGCAGGGCTAGGGACCCCAAAGCCAAGGTGAGGAGCATGATCAACATGTTTACGTCCTACAGACAAAAGAAGATCTTGGTCCTCAGGATGATAACATCTGATTTTGCAAGACCAGTTAGAGAGACATATGGAGAGCCACTGTCAAGACAGGAAAAAGCAAAAACAGGGCAACAGGGCTCCAAAGAGCTCAGCCTTGAAAGGAGAAGAGAAAGGGCAGTGGGGAGAGGAGGTAGGGACAATGAAGCTGTGTGTTTCCATGGTGGGGAATCTAAAGCATGTTAATGTGGAGGGCAGCAATGGAGGGAGGGTGGGAGAGGGACCTAGAAGGAATGAGATGGAGATTCTGAAGTTCTCTGAGGACAGGACCCGTGCCTGAGTCACTCCTAATATCTTGGTGTCCACAGAAGCTCTGGAACATGGAAAGGGGTCAGTGCAGACATCCTCAGGCCATCAGCAGCCACAGTGGAACAGAGGGCTTGGTCGTTAGAGGTTGGAACAAGAGTTGAGCATTGGTAAGAAGGGCAGAGAGCAATGGAGGGGGCAGGGGGTAAGGAAGTACCTTTGTCCTGCACCTTCTCTATGACTTTGCTGTGAGCATCTTTTATCTGTTCTGGGTTGGTGATGTCCATCTGAAGCACAGTGATGTGCTTGGAGCAGTTTCTTCGCAATTCCTCAGCTCCTGAGCTCTTTTCATTCAAAACTCCAGCGAATACTGTGAAGCCCAGCTTGTCCAAGTTCTTGGCCAATGCATGGCCGAACCCAGAATCACAACCTGCAAAGAGATAAGGTAAGGGAGCATGAGTGTGAACCAAAGTGACAGGAGAAGGTTCTGAATTGGGAACTCGCCGTATGCTGTTGATGACTGTCCATGCTCTCTGAAGAGAAGAGGTGCGAGGAAGTTTCTTTGTTTGCCAAACAGGGAAATGGGCAGAGGTAACTTACTCTGCATAACGAAGAAAAGCTGAGTAAAATCGACTGGGTGATAAGTGGGCACAGGTGGAAGGAGAAAAGCCAGAGAGACCAGTGCTCCAAGAGGGGCAGGCAGCCAAAGAAAAATGTGGACAGAAAACCAACGTGTTATAACACTTTCCATTGTTGGTACAAGAAAGTACTTATTTTTCTTGTGCAATTTCTTTTGTTAAAGGCCATGATGATTGGAATGGAGATTGGCTGGGCTACAAGTGTAGAAAGAGGGAGAGAGGGGCCAGCATTCCTGGGGTTTCCAAGTGCTGCCCCAAAGGGCAAGCAACAGATGCTGCACAGTACGATAACCTTATGTGTACCGTGAGGACCGAGGGAGACATCTTCTGTAAAACATGTGTCAGGACTCGGAATTTGAGATGAGCATTTACCCCGCCCAGTATGGAGGGTATTATGGGCCCTGGAAAAAGTACTTTGCAACCACAAACTTCGAGACACAGCTATCTGAAATTCTGAAACTGAAACACAATATGGATAGAAAACCACCCTCCTGGGCTGGGGATTTAGCTCAGATTTCGCCGCCTGACTCACAAGCGCGAGTTCCAGAGTTCAATCCTTGGTATCAAAAAAAGAAAAAAGAAAGAAAGAAAACCACCCTCAAAGCCACTACGCAATAAACAGTGACAGGTAGCATGTCCCTAAAGTTGGTAACAGCGAGCAACCTACTATGTCATGTGACTTTTCCTGCAGCCTTGAGGGTTGTCTTGTGTCAGAAGTCAGGGGCTGTAGTCAGCCATCGCCCCCACACTCCCTCCCTATACTTGCGGCCCACAAGGAAGGATGCAAATTCACCTGAAAATAGCTAGTTTAGAACCCACTTGTTGGGAAAGCCAGCACTGGAACCAGGGTCCAGTCTGTGGGTGAAGCAAAGCTTCGTGGAGAGTCCCTCCTGTTCTGTGATGTGGCACACCTTGTGCCTCTGCAGTAATATTGGCATGGCTGAATCTAGTGAGGCCATGGATATTAAAGCCCTTGGTTCCCTCGAAGCCTCATGTGATTTCAGGATAGCAGCATGTTCTCTTTACGCAGGGAGAACCTAATTTGGTACAGAAATGCAACACACAAGCCTCAGCCGGGATGTCTGCCGCTCTCTGTAGGGCTGCAGCTGGTAGGTAAGAAAGCCTTCTCCACCTCCTTAGACCCTCTGACCACCAAAGTATGCAAACTATCACTTGCACCCAAACCTGGGGTCCATTGTCTTCCCCCACATCCAGGGCGGAGCACATTTATGCACTCTGCACTTTCCAGCCCTCCATCTGGCCTTGGGGCCTAACACTTAACTAAGTGAGCAGTGCTTTGGTGTGTGCACCCCTGCCCAGGATGCAAGCTGCCCCAGGCCATGCCATAAGGTCTCAGGATTGTAACTCTCCCGAGTAACTCTAGCCTTTGACTATAATCAACCAGCTTTACCCTCCCAGAAATGTGCAACTGTGGCTACAAGATGCCAGGCGACCTTCACTATTGTCTGGCCCACACTGTTGTTTGAACATAACCCTGCTCAGGCACAGATGGGGCTTTTAAGTGGAAAGGAGGACGTGAGGGCTCCTCCTATCATGAATGGGATCAGGTGCTCTCTCCAAAGGGCTTGGTGTAGGGAGTCCATCCCTCTGCCCTCTTCCTTCTGCCGAGTGAGGATGCAGAAAGACAGTCCTCACTACAACCCAGATGCCAGACCTTGATCTTGGACTTCCCAGCCTCTGGAACAGAGAGAAATGAATCTCTGTTCTTTATAAACTACCCGGTCTGTGCTATTCTATGACAGACACCCAAGTGGACAAGACAGCCCAGGAGGACAGTGAACTCCTGAGCTAGCAGTGGGTGGAGGACAGCAGCCTCCCATCACACATGGAGGCATAGGCTGTGTCTTTCTGAAGAATGACAAGAAGCAAAGCCACCAAAAAGATCAGAGTCTCTAGTCTGGTGATGTCCACAGAGGCAGGGGAGTAGCCTTCCAGCTCGTGACAGCACCCGGTTCCTGATGAACCTCAAGTGGTGTCTCCTTCACGTGCATGCTTTGAGTCACCCCACATCCTCATTAAAGCCCCCCTTCTTTCTCCAGTTGGTTTTGCATTTTGCCTACGCCCCACCTTTTCCCCTTACCCTAGTTACTGCCGTTGTGGAAAGAAGTCTGGCAACCCCTCAGGTTACATGTGTTGTCACCAAATGACCTAATGACGCCGCTCCAAGGTTTGAGGAAGTGCGACATGGACACAAATGGTCCTACCTGGATTATTCACAAAGCTGAGAAAAGTACATTAGCCAGATGTCCATCAACAGGAATGGATACACAGAATGTGCTTTATCTACACAATAGATTTTATTAATGGGGGATTAAAAAGCATTGAAGTAATGACACATGCTACAACATGGATGAACCTTGAAAACATGGTGAGGAGTAGAAGCCAGGGGGACAGATAAAGCAATGAGAGCAAGGAGGAGATATTCTGATCTTGATCCCACTTTCTCTGAGAATGACCTCACAGATACTGTTGAAGATCTTCAATGAGATCCATGAATCTAAGATCTGACTGTCTTAGGAAAGTTTCTAGGAAGAGCCTAGCACACACTAGCCTTTAGATCCAAACTGAGCAAAGCCTCTGCCCATGCCCTGTAATCCTGGAAAACAGCAATGGTCAAAAAATCCCCCCACAATTTGTGCTCTGGGAAATGGGTTACTGTAAAGAATCCCCTTCCCCCACAAGCTTTAGATGAGATCACCTATGACAAGGCCAGACCCCTAACTCCAAATTCCTCTTTTGCTTCAACATCCAGTAAGGTTTCTCTCCTGCCCCAAGTTCAGGCTCACCTTCAGCCTGTGCCCAGCCCACCCCTTCTTTATAGCCCCTCCCGAGGTTATATGGGTCTGGGGTCTCACCAGTCTGATCCTACCTCCGATCACCCCCTGTCCCAGCATCGAGTTCTTCCTACCTTTGTTTACTCTTTCCCATAAGAGCCAAATCCTTTTGCCTAATCCTCGAGATACTGACAGATCACACGGTCAGAGCGTTCCCCTGTCACTCTAGACCCTTCCCAGCCCACATGCCTCTGCATAATCCTTTGGAATAAAGTCTCTCCTAGCCAACACAGTTTGTTTAGACTTTGCAGTGAGTTAGTAAAACCAAAGTTTATAAGACACCATCTGTTTATACTTAGCTGTGGCACAGCACAGCACAGAGGCCTGGGGGTGAGCTTGACCCCACCATTCCTGCATGTGCATTCCTACCTCTCTGCCTAAGCTTTCTAATCCACAAAAGGGGCTTACCAATGGAACCTATGCTCAACAATGCCTATTCTGAGTGATTTTTCTAACAGGTCTTTTTATAAAAATAAAACTGTGCTATCCTTTCTGATTTTCAGACCTTTTCATGCACAATGTTGCTAGATGGAATTTGCCTCTTGTGACAGTTTGTTGACATCTTGGTGAAGAATCAAACTGCCTGGTTGTCTCGTAGGACCCTTTCTTAAAGTATACATAGCCATGCAGAGCCTCCATGTCTTCACATGGAAGTGGGGTTCTAATGATACTCTCCTCCTAGACTGAGCCGGGAAGTCAACCAGACAGTGCCTCACCCAAGGCCTGGCATGTCGTACATTCCTGTTAAGTCACTCTAGCTCCAACTCTGACATTGCTCCCTACGTAAGATACTGGAGACCTGGCAGTACTGACCACGCTGTCTGATAAGTCTGTGAGCCTGTGTAAGGGTCAGAGGCCTTGGGAAAGCACGAGGGGCCCCTTCCTAATGAGATAAGATAACCTCTGTGTGCTCCATACACAGCAGCCAGCAGTCTTTGTAAGATTTACTCAACAGAGGCTGGAGAAAACAATCACTCCCAGATTGGACTGCATGCTTATCAGGTGCCACCCAGCCTCACACAGACTCACACCAGAATCCTCCCAGCCACTCTGGAGGGCAAGAAATCTTATCATGGCAGAGGCAGTCTGCAAGCAGGCAAGGGTTGGGATAGAAACATCTAGGATATACAATATTCAGATCCTTCAGAGCATAGCACACAGTAGGCACTTAATAAAAACATGTGTTAAATCAAAGAACATTTAAAGGGGCTCTGGAGCCTGAGCGCCTTAAGAACAGGGAGGAGCCCTTTGGCATCCCGGCTGAGAGTACCTGACTCACATCTGTGCAAGACTGGGGTCAATTTGAAAAAGCACTTAACTATTTAAAAGTTGTTAAAGTTCTGACTGGTGTGCAAAATGAAGGCAATGTGAATCACCCTGAACCTTTAGGAATTGTGTCTCAGAGTGCATTCATGCCACACTACACTGGGACACTGACTAGCCCTGAACAGAAACGCCCCGTGCTGGCTCAGTCTTTGGGGAGGCTGTAATTTGGTCGTTCTTTGGGTCAGGTTTCTTGCATGAAGTACACCCACCCTATAGAGAGGGGCCGGGTGAAAGTGTACATGTGCCCTAGACATAAGTAGGATCCTTTGGGACCTACTTCTAGAGAGAAGGAAGAAGGAAGAAGAATCTGAAAAGCTGTGGATGGTTATTGTTCATTAAATCATAGAAACAATAAAATCTCATGTTCAACAGTGAGATCAGTGAAAGAAGTCGTTGTGTATAATCTCACCAATCTAGCACAATTTTCATCTTGTTGTTTTCTTCTGGTCTTTTTTTACTTTCCTACATATAGTTCTTCAACACATTTTGGCAACTAATTTTTAAGTTAATAGGATATAAACCAGTTATACGTATTTCTGCATTGTCTTCAGAACCGTAATTTTCATTACTAGATAAAATTCTCTCTATTAAAATGTGGCCTGAGAGAAATG